TTGGACACGGAGGCCTCCACCCGTTTAATGATGGATGGTTTTTCTTGACAAAGATGGCTTCCTTCACGTCGCTCACTATGTGAAGGTGCGTTTTACAGGACTTAGTTTATTGCAGCTCCTCAGACTGAAGTCTTTTTGGATAAAATATGAAACCTTTCAACAAGAAGATTCTGTCTAGAGGGCCTGACTTACCATTGTTAGATGTTTGTACCTGCATGATTTATGCATGATGCATCAGGGTATGAAATGGGTGATGCTTAACAAAGGTCTTGGTGAATTACACTCTTGGTGTAAGAGTTATTACTTTGGCTGCAGTTCTGTTATCGGTGGTATACCTTAGTTGTGATGCTTTTAAAAATGTATTAGCAGCCATTAGTTTTTAATTCTTCATTACCTTTGTCATCTTTGGCAACATTCATTAGTTATTTCCATTGATTGGGTTGGATAATGCTACACCTCTTCTGTTTGCAGACTCGTGCTGTAACTTAGGGTTTATGCTGGTGAAGATTCTCAGTCATCCAGGACATGGTCAATTCAAAAAAGTTCAAGACAAAAACAACTGGACTTTGTCACAGAAGACGTCTTGCTTCTCATCCGAGGAGCTTTCTCAATTCAGAGAACAGGGAGTGTGGGGTTCGAGTTGTAAAGCTGAGGTAAGATGCATACATACATATGCAGATTGACCTATCACACCTCACAGTAGGGGTGTGTATACAAAGACCTTAATAAACCCCTACTGTGAGGTGTGATAGGTCAATCTGCATTTGTATGTATGCATCTTACCTCAGTTTTACAACTCGAACCCCACACTCCCTGTTCTTTGAATTGAGAAAGGTTCTCGGATGAGAAGCGAAACGTCTTCTGTTATAAAGTCCAGTTGTTTTTGTCTTGAACTTTTTTTGAACTTGGGGTTTGTTACGAACCAAAACCCACAGTCAGTGTTGGACTTGTCAAAAACAGTACAACCTCCTTCGTTTGTTCCATAAGTGTGGAGTTTTCATGTTGCCTCAACAGTGTTGCTCCACGAGGACGTAGGAACTTCGGTGTTGTTTTCTATGAAGCCAAGCAGTGGTTTTCACCGTGGACCTCTGCCATCATGAACACTGGCATGAACTGAGGCCCTTCTGATCTTTCTTTGATATTAAAGTTTGTTTGCAGATCTGAAACATTTAAGTAATTAAAGACGACAAAAAGAGATCTTCAAGAATCAAATGCATTTTTACAGCATCATAGATCATTTCTTTCACTCCTTATATGATTTTTCAACTATTGTTTTTGCTGCTTCCAATGGGTCAAATTATCCATTAAGTTTTTAAAAAATGACAATGCGTGATAAAATATCTACTTTTTTAATTCTAACACTTACTTTCATGCCACAATCTGCCGTTTTTCTCCTTTTATGTTTTGGATAACAAATTGTACAACTTGGAAAAAAAGTCTTCCACCTATAGAAAGAAAGTTTGTCATTTCTGTTGGCGTTTATAAAGTCCACTTTCAAGTAATTGAACAACATTAACAGGAGAACAAAAATGAACAATCAAACATAACTTACAAAATATGGTATACACAAGTAACACTCGGGGAACATCGGTTTGTCTTTTTAGAATCAAACAATATTGGAATAACATTTACACAACAAGCTGACGAGACTGTGATCCCAACCACAATGCTACTGGGAATGTCTCTTTTTTTAATGCAGTCCAGTAAGAAACATTCAAGAAGTCAAAATTAACCACGGTGAACTGAGCAATAAGGGAAAGAGCTGCAAATGATTTTTGAACATGCACAGAAACGCAACATAAATTACAGAGTGAAATAAAAATAAAGTGCCTTTTGAATTATTTACTCATTAACTAATGACTTCTTCCATCTCACCATTTGTTTTCAGGAAACTCTGCACAGCTGCAACACATTTTTAATTATTATTTACCCCTTTTACATCTCACTGAAGATAAAGTACTCTTTGTCTTTTATATCATGGCTTTTTATTTTTGGGTTTTGAAAATGCCAATTCTTACTTTATAAAATTCTAAATAATAGTATTCTGAATAAATGAAAAGCTGTTTAATTTGTGGTCTGTTTCAAAATATAAAAACAATAGTTGGTCAGATGTTACAATAATATTCTTATTAAAAAAGCATGTAAAGATCAAACTAGCATAAACCTTGAAGCTAAACCCCCGCCACACGTGAACCGTATTGTTCAGACAATAAGGCAAACTTAAAATCCTTTAATTTAGTCAAAAATTGACAGACTTATAATCAGGTGCGCCTTATGTATGAATGCTGGTTGTGCTTATTGACCTCAAATCTATTTTATATGATTATTGTGGATGATTTGAATAAAGTTTGACTTATCTGACTGTTTTGTTTCACTTAATACACCTTATAATCCGGTGCACCTTATAGTCTGAAAAATACCATCACTTTTAGGATGCTGGTCATTTGAATCAACTATTTTGTTTTTGTGTGGATTAAAGAGTGGGCATCAAAAAGTGATCCGTGTGACCGCTTCCTGAAGCTCAGCGCTCTCATTGTCAGTCTTTCCATTTAGTTGTTGGTGAAAAAGTGAAAGACCATGTTTTACAAAATGATCGCCATCATTACCTAATTATCTGTAAAAACTAGAACTGCTACATACTACACTAACCTTAAGATAAGTTTAGGGTTCATCTTGGTGTTCGAGTTTATTTTCCTCCCAGTCAAAGGACAATTTAGTTTGGAGAAATAACCAACATTTTAACAAATTAATACTCTGAGAAAGGACACTTTATTTTCTTGGGATCGATAAGAACTTGGAGGAGACTGGAGTTTCATTTGACCCTATCAAGAGTCAGATTTTTGCATCAATCTCATAAAATGTTAGAATCATAAGCACAAAGTAAAATAATTAATCAGACATCTGTGGCTGACTTGTCCTCCTCCAATCAGCAGTTTCTTAAAACCAAATGGCAAACAAGGCAGCCGTTCTGAACTACAGTGGTCCAGATCTATGAAAGCTGACACTGCTGAGATCTATTGATCATAACCCCAACATCTATTGATCATAACCCTTTTTTCTTCTTGAAATTGCAAGAATAATTGACTTACCATTGATAGACTATCGCCTCATTAAATAAATTAATTAGGTACTTTTAGATGGTGTGCTGAGAAACCTATTATCTTGAGATAAAGCTATTAAGCAGTGATTTTAAGCATGGGTGTTCTCGTTTCCAGTAGAAATATCCTGTTTTTGGAGTTGATAAATGCAGCAGGATGTCATGGAACAAATTAAGGCACGGCGAATCAAAGAAACACAAAAGTACTTCAGATGTCTTTAACAATGTTGGGATTAAAACAGAGCATAATAGAAATGAGTTGAGGAAATGACACACGGCTTTTTTTTGTTCTTCCAGAGAAATGTGTCAGCATCACTGAAATACACAGAAAAGTAACCTCAAGAAGAAATTCAGCATCAAGGCAGATGATCACACTAAAAGAAAATGCAATGAAAGAAAATGTCTGTGCTATTTTACAAACTGTTGGAACGACAGACACGTCCACAGTCCAACAGGAAAAGTTCATCGTAACTTTAAAAATAGTACCGTTCACTTCCAGCCCCACTGTAAACACTGCCGAGCAGAGTTTTTTTTTTTTACAGGGTTCTGATATTCATTAATATACAAGCCCACAAATCATGTGCTATAATGTGTGTTTATTATCCTCACAGCTTGGAAGTCTGTGTGAACGCTAATGCTCCACAGTTTTTAAAAGTAGGTCCATCCTGCTGTGTAGGAGACTGCTGCCGGTCAGTTTGTTCCAAAGCATCTTGTTAGATCATCGGTCTCTGTTGGCTCTTGAGGACCCTTAGGAATCCAACTTTGAGTAGAAGGATGATGGTACATAGGGCAGATCCATGGTCTGTCAGAAAGGCAGTTGTGGACAAGCTAAACGGAAACACGTGGACGTGAGGGTTGCACAAAATGGACACCTCGGTTGTGCTTGGGCGCTGATACGCGATGTATGTCGATGATCAAATGAATGGGAACGTTACAAGGACGCACAAGCTTCACAAGAACAACCTAACCCTCGTCTTCGACCTCCTCGTCCATATCCTCCTCAAACACTCTTTCTGGTAGCCTGAAGCACTCTTCGAAGAAATTCACCAGGGACTGACTCAGGTGCTGCCTTGTTGCTTCACTGTGAATAAAGTGGCCTTCATCAGGGTAGATCTGAGAGGAAACGATATCAGAAAATACAAGTTTGTGTTTGCAAACGCTTTTC